TAATTAGTTTACTTTTTCAAAAAGTTTCCCCAAGTGAAGTGATTATTATTAATTTCTATTTGTAATTAGTTTGTGGTGACAAGGGTATTATCAAGTTATATGCTAATAAAAATGAAACTTTTTTTTAAAAGTGCTTCACCTTTCCCTCTGGAAACTTTTTGTAGTGTTTTCATCAATAAGGCTATATGTACACTGCACAGCTTTTCCGGGATACCAGAGGTTTTCCGGAAAACCTCTGCCATGTCCAAGGAACGTGTCTGCTTTTCCAAAAAAAAAATTTGGAAAAGCAGATGCATTTTTTCAGCATCCCTGTAAACCTCAATCTACGAGGAAGAAGGGATGTTATGAAAGAAGGATTTTTTCCGACATTTGGCTCTGTATAGATGAACCAATTGTCGGAAAAGCCTCTTTCAGAAGAAAAGTGGAAAAAAATATGCAAATTGCAGTTTGCAATTTACATATCTTTTTTCTGACTTTTCGTTGTAGTGTAGACATAGTCTAAGACAGCAACATAAACAGCTTTTAATGTTATAATGTCATTATCCTACCTAATCGATTTTCAGAAACCCCCCTGCAGAACTAACATGTTTGCAACCCATCATTCTAAATATGCTCTTTGTATGTTATGTCTCTTCTTCATTAATTTTGTCTCTGCATCAGAAGTTCCTCAAGTTCCCATTCTAAATATGCTCTTTGTATGTTATGTCTCTTCTTCATTAATTTTGTCTCCTCATCAGAAGTTCCTCAAGACAGGGATTGTGATTTGTTTTGTGTGATGGGACCCTGATTCTCACTGATTCCCCCAAGTGCTACTTAATACAAATAATAAAAATAATTGAAAATGAAAATAGTAAAAATAATTGCTTCTCTGATGCCGATGTGTTTGTTCTTTGGATCAAAACATTCATATTTTCTAGTTCCCACATCTTGGAATATTCCAAAGTCAACATGAATCAATCACAGACTGTATGCTAAAACAAGTACAAAATCCAGAAGAGGTTCAGTATATTGAGAAGAGATTGCCTCTAGTATACAAAATTCGAGAACAGGTTAGTTGTTATTGATATATAATTGAATCATCAAACTCCTTCCTACAAGATGTTATTGAATAAATGTGTACTAAATTACCTTACTAAAAACTAAAATTAAAAAATATAATGGCTTCATGCTGTAGAGAGTAAGTTGTTTGCCATCAATCTTAAGAAAAAAATTATCTCAAGATGCACTGTTGCTCAGTTATAACTATTTTTGTTAGTTACTGATAACTTTCTAAAACAAATTAAGTGCTGAAATATGCTATAATTGGTCCCAGACTAACAAATGTGGATAAACTATTTTTATGAAGGTTTAATTGAAATTTTGTAAGCAATTTTGAATTGAAAATGGGACATAAATGTTCTCTTAAGGAAGTTTGCGTTGATGACTGAAACAGTTAAAGCCAAAAATGTCAAACTTGACTTCCTTTTTATTTTCTAGGCTTCACTGAGAGTTAGAAATCAAATCAAGTTTGAAATTAATCAGTGCAATGTTTTTAAAGTTATGAACATTTACATGTGTCAGTTTTCATGCATGCACACTGATCCTACTACAAGTGGAACCAGGCTTACAGATCTTTGCTTTTTCCCTTTCTTTTAAAAGACTATGGAAACTGAATTTTAAAAGAAGTGTTCTGCAACTCAAAAGTTGCAATATTGTGCACTCAAAATGCAGCAAATTCCAAAGTTAAAGTTGTATTCTAAACATTCAAAGTAGGAATAAGAGATCCTCCGGAAAAGGGCTTTATTCCGGAGGATCGGGCCAGTCTAGACGCTTTTTTCCGGCTTTTCCCCAAGCCGGAAAAAAAGCGGCGGACATGTTTATTTAAATCCCGCGGTGGATATTTAAATCCCCCGCGGATTTCCCTATTCTGAAGTTGGAAATTAACATGCCTCTGGGTTTATCCAGTTTGCTTTCTTGGAAGTTGGCACATTTAGTTTGGGAGAGACAATCAATTCTCTCCTTAAGGTGGTCAGTTTCTCTCTGGCTGCCATAGACTGAAATGCCTCTACCAAACAACTGCAGTTCTTTTGGAGAATTCTCCTTTCCTTTCTGATGAGGTGGCATCTTAAAATCACTTTTACAATCACATGAGACCAGAGGCCAAATTTTATTTTATTTATACTGGTTTTCAAATCAGAGTAACTTCATTCACTGTGTACTAAGAGCAGAATTTTGCTGAAAGGGAGTAATTAGGAGGGAAGTTTGGGAATGGTGAGCAGAGGAATATAAGGTTACAATGAATTATGGGTATGTCTACACAGCAAAGTTATTTCAAAATAACAGCCGTTATTTCAAAATAACTTTACTAGCATCTACACAGCCAAACCGCTATTACGAAATTAAATCAAAATAGCGGAGCGCTTATTTCGAATTTGGTAAGCCTCATTCCACGAGGAATAATGCCAAATTCGAAATAGCTAAATTGAAATAAGTGCTGTGTAGACGCTTATTTCGAAATAGGGGGCCTCCAGCTCTTCCCAGGGTGCCCTGGTGGCCACTCTAGACACAACCAGGAAAACTCCTCTCCCTCCCCTCCCCAACCCCGAGCCCTTAAAGTAAGGGGTAGATTCTGGCCACAGACTGCTGTCACTGCACCTGACCCAGTGGCCGCAGTATGAGCCAGGCAGACAGTGCGAGCCAGCCCTCCACCGCACCCCAGGAGCAGGCTGCCAG